CTCTCCCGCCGTTACTGAAACTTTTGTAGGAATCGCATCTGAAATACATGTAGAATAATGCACATAAATAACTGATGTTAATGATTGTGTTCTGACAATAATTCTAATATATATATATATATATATATAAAATATAATATAAAAAACACATTCAGAAAATACTCAGAGAAAAAAAATCACAAGTGCAAATAAAATATTATTTACAAACGAATACATCAACATATTTATTTCACCATTGGCATTAAATATCTGTAATATGACAAAGCACAAATATAGACTTATATATATATATATGTGTGTGTGTGTTAAATTAAAAGAAACATTCTGTATGACCCAAACACTGCAGTTCATTTAGAAAAATTAAGTATTAAAATATGTTCCTCTTTGTCATAAAAGAGTGCTTACCAAGGACAGTAACACTAAATCTCCTGTATGTTGTGTGAGTGATATTGGTGATGTTCACTTCATAAAACCCAGAGTGTGTGGTTCTGGTGTTTCTGATGGTGAGGTCCCCAGTTTGATCGTTTATTTGTAGTTTGTCTTTGAATCTTGCATCATCAGTGTCATATAATAAGGGATTATTGGCCTTGATTGTAGCTATGACATTAGATCCAAACTTCCACACTATCTTATCATCTTTCTGTAGTTTGGTAATACACTTGGTGTCTAGAACGACAGAATCTCCTTCCATCAATTCACGTATCTCCACTCTCAACACCTCAACACCAAACACACCTGGAGAACAACCAGAAACAAAGAAAACACCAGTATAACAATAATATTCTTCACATAAGTTTCTAAGTTTCATGCCATCTGCAACAGTTTACAAGTATTTTTCTACGCAGAACTCTAAATAAGCCCCACATTTAGAAGAAAAAAATCTAGTATATTACTAAATATACAGTGATAGCTCTAAAAAATAAATATAAGCATGCACAAAACTATAGAATACACAACACGTTAAATATGTTTAAACAAAACATTTTCATTTAATGTACATCCACATGCATCTGTAGCCTACCTTAAATATAAAAAAGAGATAAATAAGCCATTTAATATTTTAAATATTTTGCATATATGCACAAATATACATTCTGTTTCAGTGAAAATCATAGTACGTGTTACACGTTAATGTACACTCTAAAAATGCTGGGTTGTTTCAACCCAACTTTGGGTCAAATATAGACTAACCCAACTTTTGGGTAAAAAAATGTAATTGAAAAATGTAATTTAATTTTAACAGTTGGGTTAGTCCATATTTGACCCAAAGTTGGGTTAAAACAACCCAGCATTTTTTACAGTGTATTTTACTTAAATTGCGTGTTATATGGGACATAAATTATGGTCAGACTACTGTTTTTATAGTAATATAATACACTATATTTGCAAACCATTTCAGAAATCTGGTAAGGCATGTGTAAGGCAGGATCCAAATCCAAAAAAAACCAAAACCCGTCTCATTCCAAATAAACAAGTAGTTCCATCCTTGAGTTTTAAATGAAATCTCGCGAGAGGGCGGACGAGCAGAATGCGGAAACTGGTGTGCGATTGTCTGGCTGCGATATTAAAATTGAAACTGGATGATACAGTAGCGCTTTATAACATATAGAGACGACGATCTTTTTCTTCCGTTTAATTAAATATTACGATATTTGCGTTATTTGTTGGTTTTGTTGAGCCATTTAGGCGGATTAAAACAGCTGTAAAGGATTTATTTTTAAATAAAAAAATGTTGAGAGAGATCTATACGCGTTTAGAAACTATTGAGGACCGAAGCGGTGGATAATGCATTATACACGACATACATTGTGACGGCCAGTCAACAAATTAAGGGTAAGGGAAATATTTTTTCTATACAAAGAAGCTGTTTAGTGTTTTGTATGTGTGCTACACATGCCATACGTTTAGCTAGAGATCTGTCATCGGACAAAAACAGTGGATGGTGAATTCACGGAGAAACTTTTGGTAAAGAATCAAACTGCAGGTAGTATTTGAACCATACGCTATATATTACCTTGACAAAGTCAACATTGTACACTTATGTCAAACCATTTCTCAGACAGAGACGTTATATTTCTCGATACGCTGACATTCTTGCTCCTAGAGCGGACTTGAGGCCCTTTGGGCGGTAAATATTGTTTTCGATACAGGTGAAGACAGGAGGTGTCTTCCACCAGGGGGCGACTTACGGCTCAATATAACGATTTCTATTGAGCAACACACACATGTCTGGAGGGGTTGGGCCTCATTTAAGACATTTGAACAGCCAAACTTATGATCATTTAAATCTACTAGCTACAAGAATAAAGCTCCAATAAAGACCCTGCACATGCGTCTATAAAAGTATTCTTTAACATCCTCATCTGTAAATCAGAAATTGCTGTGATCAGCTCTTTCATATCAGCGCTGGGAAAAGTAACCTGCCGTCTAAAAGCCTTGAGAAGCGGTCTGGATAATAACTTGCATGAATAATCACACTGAGAAGCTTAAACAGCAACTGAATTGACACATTTAAGACTTATGAAGGGTCTCATAGGTCTACAATGTAGAGATACAATTCTGCAAGTGGCACATAATGGAAAGTACCAACAAACAACACAAACCGACTATAATAAAAAGCATAACAATGAGTTCATGAACCATGTTCGCATGACATTTCGATTGTAAATTTTGTAAATAAATGTACATGCATGTGTTTTTCATGTTTATAGGTGATTTCAAGTGTCTTGCTGTGTGATATGCTGTACTTAAAAATATAAAAAAATGTAAAAAATTCTTGTTCTTACATTACATTTAGTCATAGTGAAATTAAATTGAAAAACTAAGTATCCTCCAGACTGCACATGCAATACTTGTACTATATATATATATACATATATATAATTAAAGAAAATAATTAATAGTCTAATAAAGTAAAAAAATAAATAAATAAATAAAAACATTTAATAGTAGTAATACAGATTTTAAAGCCATGTCAGCTTCTTTATGGCAAAAACAAAGTTGAAAACTGTTGTTTAAATTAGGCTACTTACTTCCTTTGTACCAGGAGAGAGTCACATGACTCACATTCACCACTGAACATAAAAATGAACAATTCTGCTGTGAAGCTGATGAAGAACAGAGAGTCTCTGGAGAGTCTCTGGTGATGACAGGAATCGGCAGAGGAGCTGGAGAACATAAGAGAACACAGAAACTATATGAACAATATAGTTCACAATGAATGTTCACAGACTGTCTTTTTTACCGGTCTAAATGTGTGATGTGGAGATTCAAACTGATAAGTGTGATAGCCACAGTGTGCAGTTTACCATTGATTGCCATCTCACCTACTCAAATCACGCAATACTAACAAATCGTATAGACTAGCATTAGATATAAAATATGGAAAAATGCAAAATAATTTGAAAAAATGTCTACATTGCATACTTAATAATCTCTAATATCAACATTGACGTACCTGGACATGGCCAACAAAGTTCACTGATGTCCAGATGTGTGGTCTGGTTGCTGACGGGGTTGTTCAACACACAACTATAGTTGTTTTTCTCCTGATATTCCACCTCCAGAGGTAGAGATAGACTGATGCTGAGATCAGACACACTGATGCTGGACAATAAACCGTTTCCTTTGTACCAGGAGAGACTCACACGACTCACATTCACCACTGAACACAACAATGAACAATATGATGATGAAGAAGAACATTGTGAAGAGTCTCTGGTGATGACAGGAATGGGAAGACGAGCTGGAAAATGATATGAAATGACCAATTAGAATAAGTTTACTGAGAAAAAAAAAACCGTTTTATATTAAGAGTATTGAGAATTATTTAGCAAACACAATATTAAAGAACAAACAACACTGTTTCTCTACTCACCATAGACAGAGACTGTGAATGTTTGTGAGTGTGAGACTGTATTACTTATGATCTCTAGTTTATAGAGTCCAGCATGTTCAGATCTGATGTTTTTAACGGTCAGCGATCCGGTGTCATAGTTCAGCACCAGTCTGTCTCTGAATCTCCCATCAGCGCCATCATAAACGTTGAAGACTCCAGCCTCCTTTTTGACTTGAGCAATGAGGACCTCTCGAGGTCCAAACATCCAAAGCAGATCTTCACCTCTCCGTACCTCAGTTTGTAGAGTGACAGAATCTCCCTCTGTTGCTGTTTTCATTTCACCGGGCTCAACACCAAACACACCTGGAGAACAATGGAACAGGAACTGCCACTCAATCACATATTATTTGGTCCAAAGTGTTTATTACCTGGTACAAGGTAGATCATCGTGGACCAGAAACAAAACAGCTAAGATGCTTTTGTAAAATGGTAGCTGGTCAACTAACTAATGACCCCCCCCCCTCAAAAGGCAAAAGGGAGTAATTCTTGATTTTATATTGGACTGGTTTATCTCTAATATAAAGAGCTGATGCCATAAAACATGCATGACTTACCAATCCGGCCTTCAAAACGCAAGCAGAACCAAACAAATGCATAAAAGATTTTCTTTGACTGAGACATCACTTAACGCTTCTGGGAGGAAAAAACTAATTTCCTAAAACTTTGCTGAGGAGCGTTCCCGTGCGGTTATGAAGATATTTCACCAATTATAGCCTATTTTAAAAACGAAGGGGAATTTGTAGCTTCGTGGTCTGTAAAGAAAGAACACACGACGCAACTTTCAGTCAGATGATCTGAACTTCTCCTCCGCGCGCCGCCAGAGTGTGCGCGCGCGTCTGTGAACGCGCTTGATTGTCAGCGAACGCCTTTGTGTCTTTCAGTTATGCACCGGGTTTAATTTATATATGAATGTAATTAATTTTATTTTATGACTGAACACAAACTATTTTCATTCAACTTCATATATAATTTAATTATATAACCTGTTTTTATTATTTAATATTACAGTTTTTCTCAAATGCTAAAACACATTTCACAAACGTTTCCTCCATGTATCCCAGTGTCTAAACAACACCCTTTTCTAAAGCTACATAAACACAACCACACCTTCTCACTTCAAAACTCAAACTTTCACACCAAAAGAGCAGCTCGAAGCTTTCAAAAATGTAAACACTATACACATCATTACACACTACAGCAAAACAATTGAAAACACAATGCTCAATTTGGGAGAAGGTTCTTTGTTTCATAACTGCCAATGCATATTTTTTAGAAACTTTACAGTAATGGATGTTCTTAGATCTCTGCAGAGGATTAGGCATTTAGATTTGTGAGTTTCATATGAAGAGTATAAATCTATAGTAAATTCTGCATGTACACTACTGTAACACAACTCAATGCAAAAACAGAATCTATTGCACACAACAGTACTCTTGAAAACATGATCAGGGTGTGAAATTTTTTTATTTACTTTATTCACACCACAATCACTGTGCGGCATCGGGCCACATCACCTCATCCACATCACAGGCTATATTGTCTCTTGCCAGGCACCGCGGGAAAAACGCCCTGGAATGGCGAATCCATCCTTGGAAGGCCTCCACTGGGATGTCAACACAGGCCAGCTCCATTGCCCTTAGGAGGTTCTCTCTAGTGTATGGTTGTCTGTCATAAACCTTCCATCTCCACGATGAGAAGAACTCCTCTATAGGGTTCAGGAAAGGGGAGTAGGGTGGCAGACAGACGTTTAAAAAGTGGTTACTGTTGGTGGTGAACCACTCTCTGATTTGGTTTGTTTTGTGGAAGCGTACATTGTCCCAAATGATCACATAAATGTGATGTGCGGGCCCAGGATGGTGTTGTTGGCAGTCCAGGAGGATGTCTTTTAGCTCCTCTAGGAAGGTGAGGAGACGTTGGGTGTTGTAAGACCCAAGGACAGCATGCCGGTGGACAAGCCCCTCCAAACCCATGGCCGCACAAAGAGTAATATTACCCCCCCGTTGGCCAGGAACCTCAGTGATGGCTCTTTGGCCAATGATGTTACGGCCTCTTTGCCTTCATTTCTGCAGGTTGAAGCCAGCCTCATCCAGGAAGAGGTACTCATGAGGTCTGGCCATCGCGTCCAACTGTAATATCCTCTGTGAAAATGTGAAAGTGCACAGGTGTTCAGAACAGTCAATCAGGTAGCACAGTATTGTCCAGAAGTAATGTAGGCCACTGAGCAACACAGTATGTCCACTAACTGTACTGTGAACATGGATGTATACTTACTTGCACATACTCGTAACGTAGGTCTTTGTGTCGCGCAGAGTTGCGCTCAAAGGGAACCCTATAGACCGGTTTCATCCGCATCTTTTGGCGCCGGAGAACTCGGTCTATTGTGGCCAAGCTGACATCATCAATGCTCTCAAAGTTGACATTATCGGCAATGACTTTGTCTCTGATCTCCCGGAGTCTGATGAGGTTGTTCTCACGAACCATATCCACAATGAGGGTTTCTTGTGCCGCTGTAAATATGGCAACCCTCCCACCTCTATGTGGCATTCTTTCAACTCTAAAGAAAGAAACATGTGTTGTCAATTGACATGTTTTACAATACAGTAACAACTGATTTGAAACCAATAGACTACTTTCACAGGCTTGTAAAATTGTATTGTGACAAAGAAAGCAATAGAGTACAATACCTGTTGTGTTGTCTGAATGCCCTGATAATGGTGGCCACGGTGAACCTACTCAGGTTTGGACGGACTCGTAGTCCTGCTTCAGCCATTGTCATGCCATGGACAATGACATGGTCAATCTCGCATCTTCGCATCTCGTCCGTAATGATGGTGCGAGGTTGTCTTGCTCTCCCTCCTGGACCTTCTCCTCTCCCTTGTTCCTCTTCCTCTCTTCCTCCTCTGATTTGAACTCCTCTTCCTCGTTGGCCTGCTCCTCTTCTTCCATGGCCAGCTCTTCTCCCTCCTCTGACTCGAATTCCTCTTCCCCTGACTCTGCCTTCATCCATTGTGTTTGTTTGGAATCTTCAGCAAACTGTGCACTCTGAACTTGCTTTTATACATGTGGTCACAGCATTAGCAACAAGTGTCTTCAATTTTGAGTCGTTGTGTGTAATGAATGACGCCAGGTGTGTTCATTGTGTTCAAATATTGCTGACTGTGGCAAGCATTTTGCATCACATGAGCTTTCATTTGAGAATATGAGTAGAGTTCTTTTGCAACTTGTGTTTTAGCAAAGAAAAATGTGTTAAGATTTATGAGAACGGAGGATTGTGTTTTGTGAATTGTGTCTTCATGTGAAATGTGTTTATGATATTGGAAAATGATGGCTAGATTTAGTAAATGTGTTTAGACAACTGGTCATTTGGTTTAGAGGATTGGCTTTTGTGTTTTAGCATTTGAGAAAAACTGTAACCAAGATAGGACATCTCAGTTTTAAAAGTACGAGTAAAAAGTCATTTCAAGGCATCATAGATATCAAGGCTTACCATCTTTTCGGTTTTCTTGAGAATAAGGATTCCACCGAATTTGTTTTCTTCTCTTCACATTCTTCACGTTCAGTTTAGAGTCAAAACGAAACCTGACGTGGCCTGATTCCTTTAGGTCTGGAAAGAAATGTGGTTTTGCTCTGATAGATGGACAAACGTCTTGTGGTGAGTTTCTAATGTATTATGCATGTGGGTGAGGGGCTTCTTCCTGTCCTGCTAGCATGAACCCCACAGACTGTTTTCCTTTTGACATAAATATGTGTTATATGGGTCAACGACAAATCAGGATGCCCAAGATGTTTCTACAATTTTGTATAATGAGTAACGAATTTAGATTATTTGGTGAAGAAGATCTGAGATGTGTAAAATGTGTTTAACATAATTCAGTAAAAGCTAAAGAAATTTGTGAATTTGTCCCAGACACTGGCAGACAATAACAAGATATGTTGAAGTACAAAAAGAAAAAAAAGCAGGAAGAGTGGGGGTCTAGGTGTGATTTCAAAAATAGATTTGAAAACAAAACAAAACAAAAAAAACATGAATTTCAAGTGTCTTGGGGTTGTACCATTTGGCGCGTGAATCTAAACTATTCTTGCCATGTTGTAGGAATGTTGAATTATTTATTGAAATTATTTTATTTGAGACTTATTGACCTTTACACATAGTCATGAGGGCCTACGGGGTCCTATCTGTGAAGTCATTTCCTGTTATGGTTTTCTTGTCACATCACAAAAAAAAATTGCTTTCTACATGTTGTTTATACCACAATATCTTTGATTTAGTGGATACATATTAATTTTATACAATGTATAAATAATAAAACACAAAGAAACAACCAAACTACTCTAAGGAATTCTGTGCCTCTTAGCTCACATTGCCTAATAATTTATAACGTACCATTAAATACTGTTACTATAATGTCCTATTAAATTGACTTATAGCAGATTTATAGATTTTACATTTATAGTGTTTTCTATAGACTGCAAAAATATTGCATGCTAGAAAAGCACCCGTCAGAACTGTATAACATGCTGTTTTAGAGTTGCATGTTGGGGCCAAGGGTCATGGGTTTACAGCTTGTCCCACCAGCATGTTTCCAGCAAGAAATCGGTGTTTGCCTGGTTACTATAGCCATAACTGCACAGTTAGGATGCACAACACATCCTTCTTTATTGAGTTTTCTCTTTATTAGTGGACCATGCTTCCAGTAATGTGAGGATGTTGTCTGGTATTCAGTATTGTGCTGTTAGTGCTGTGTAGTAGAACGGACGAGC